AAGGGTACCTGAACAGGTGTGGTCCGTTCATTGGAAAGGTCAGACTGAGTATAGACTTGTTTTATTGTATGGATCGAATCGGTGGAAGGTCAGTACACTTACCGCAGAGCATTTTTAGTCTAATACTGTTTTGAAACGAGGTGTCACACAGTGGTATTCATCATGAAGAGTGTAGTAGTTAGCTGACAATAAATAAAGCGCAGGAGCACATGCCTAAATAACAAATGACGCCATTCGTCATTGTGTAACTGTAGGTGATCGTGTGAGGTCAGTATGTGATCCGTGAAACATAGTTAAGCTAGACAAGGCAACGTGTATGCCACCCATTCGTTACCGGTCTTACTAGTTCCCGCATTTTTGAGATTCATCTGGTTGCTTCATTCGCAAATCAGTCATGCTGAAGATATCCTGTAGAAGAGGTCATTGGGGTTTTGCACATTAGAGAAATGGTACCCGGGCAATTCTGTGCTGACAGAGTTACCAACTGCTTGCCAAAAGAGTAACTCATTCGTCTCTTCTTCGTAACCCAACATATCTTCAGTGTTAAATATGTTCAAAAAACTTTACATCCAGAATGAATATCACACTATTTCTGTGGCTTCTCCGCAACCAGTGAGATGGTGCTGTGAACATACGGTTAGGAGGTTCAAATAGTACTGACCAAGGAGGAAGATACTACCTATACACACACTCACTCAGTTTCGACCTTTCATAAGCCCAGCTTCGAATTTCCCTCGAATCGTTGGCAAAATTCACAAATTCTCAAATTAACTCGGTACCAATCCGCTCCGTGGAGGGAGTAAAAACGGATACAAACCCAAAATAGAACATTTTTGGTGGCGAGATGTGTTTTACCTCATCTAGAAAAAGTTATCTGAAAACGGTCTACATAGGCGTATCCTTCAGGCTTGGTCCTCCTTAGAAACAGTCATTTTATGCAAGCAATTTACTAATTGCCTTCCACAATGGTCCAAATTCGGGTATCATAGGGCGAATGAAATTCAGTGAGAGATTTATATGTTTGGTGGATTTGAAAAGGCCAGTTTATCTCATATGAAATCGCGCCTAAATCAGCACTTGTCATCATGACGCAAAAAAGGAAGCCCATATAAAAAGACAATATCCGAATTGGCTATCTTCCAGTCTGGCACCACTTGTGCAATTATGACCGAGGTATCGTCGCCACCTGCCCATTTTTTTTAAAACCATGCAATCAGGGACCACTTAGTGGACGGCCAAAATTATACCAAAACCAGTGACCTCGCGGTTGATGACCTTACAAAATGGGTTACTCTGCTACTGTTCGGAGCATCAGACAAAATAAGTATATTTCTGAAGTTTCGAAAGGCTCAGAATTCGAGTCAGAATTCGAGTCACGTCCGTGTACCGTCAGTCAGGAAAACAGTTATAGCGCATTCGCCCGATGTCATATTCCAAGCGTAGTCAGGACTTTCACCAACACTTTCGAAAGGTCTTGGAGTGACTAGTGACCACACCATTTGTTTGCCTCTAGGTGACCTTACAGCACTTAGTACAGCTTCATTCGTAGACTGTTTCACTCAGTGATTGCTCGTACTGTGGGAACCTATCCCGCTTTGGTTTCCTACCCATTGTTGTCTCAAAAACTAGGTAATGCAGTCCTTGTATCCCTCAGTGTTAGCCTCGCACGCAACCCATACAGCACAACACGGCAGTAGAATGACGCATCTTTAGGTTTTTGCTTCACGTGACTGGTGCTAGTGATCAGCACTGAATTATCAACTAAATTGTCACCTCAAACCTACGGGCCGACATCTTCCATAATTATTGATTGTCTCTGTCCAACTTCTTCAAAGAAGAGTCGATCAAGCAAGGCCTAATTATTTTTACAGTTGTTCTGCATTTAGCTGCCACTACACATAATGGTGCTTTCACCCGGAAGGCCACTTTTGCACAATGATTTACCACCCACTTGCTTTTGGTGTTCTCATGTTGTTACACTAAAGGTACAGTTGGGTTATGATGTCGAGCTATCACGAGTGAAGCTTTCAGACTGGAAAAATCTCGGCGCTGCAGGAACGGTTTGCGGTCTATTGGTTTAGTTATCCCTTCAAACATACATCGTCCTTCCATAGCTAAACCAGGCGAAAGTTAGGTGACCAGAATACGGGCAGTTGATGATGATCCACAAAAGGCCCCTGCAAGATTAGCAGTATACACTTTGCGGAGACCAGTTTAGGAAAATACCACCCACTGTGGTAATTTTGTCTACCTATTTTGCGAACGAAATTAATAAAACAACAGTTTAAGAAAACAAGAAAAAAATGGCCATTACCTTTGTGGCATCTGCAATCCACGAAAGGATTTATCAGCTAGGTAGATTTCTAATCCAATGTCGCTTGATGCTTATGGCTCTATTTTCCGCGCAGTCACTCTCCACTTAAATTTTCAGGGCATCTGACGCTTTGGCGCGAAGTTCGTTTTGTGATTAAGCCACCAAGAAACTGAAAAACATAAATACCCACGCTTAGGAAGATTTATTGATTCGAAATTATTTGGAAGAATCTTCACGCATATATTTTGATTCATCAGGCTGTGTTTGCCGGGTCATTGCCACCGGGATTGTCATCCATGCTGCCATGGATTTAAAATATTCCGTCTGTGAAATTCTGTTTAGAAACTGCGCTACAAACCCGAAAAAGCTGCAAGGCAAGATCTTACAGATGACAGGCACCCTAGGTGAGATAGAAACTTAGTAGAAGATTGACTCGATTAAAACTGTTCAAAGTTTTTCAGTATAGTCTTTAAAACAGCACATTAAATGGCACAAGGCTGCGCACAGATTACGCAACAATACGATGCCTGTTGCGTTGAGAACCTAACTAAACCAGTTTCACATCCGACAAGAATATTTTGTCTACCCATAAAAGTTAGCATTTTATAAATGATTTTGAACCACCTTTCTAGTATTCCTCACTGCCAATTGACCTATTCATCTGGGATGCAAATTTGTGGTGTAGCATGCTTTCGTACATGTTTTCCGATAGTCACTCGTATATATATATATATATATATATATACGAGTGACTATCGGAAAACATGTACGAAAGCATGCTACACCACAAATTTGCATCCCAGATGAATAGGTCAATTGGCAGTGAGGAATACTAGAAAGGTGGTTCAAAATCATTTATAAAATGCTAACTTTTATGGGTAGACAAAATATTCTTGTCGGATGTGAAACTGGTTTAGTTAGGTTCTCAACGCAACAGGCATCGTATTGTTGCGTAATCTGTGCGCAGCCTTGTGCCATTTAATGTGCTGTTTTAAAGACTATACTGAAAAACTTTGAACAGTTTTAATCGAGTCAATCTTCTACTAAGTTTCTATCTCACCTAGGGTGCCTGTCATCTGTAAGATCTTGCCTTGCAGCTTTTTCGGGTTTGTAGCGCAGTTTCTAAACAGAATTCCCATTCTCCATCCTACATCTCTGAGAATTACGAACAATACGCGCTTTGTAGACTCAGAAAGGTCAAAAATGTCCTAATCGATTTCATCACAACTTAATATTTTCTTCACGTAGATCCGTCCGATATAGTCTTCTAGAACTCATCTGCTTCGGACTACATGAAGTCTAACAGGATGGTTGTTTCAGTTGACATTTGATAGGAATTTGGGGACTGCGCCTTGGATTAACGTCTGGACAATAGTATCATGCTTCTCCATAATTTTGGTACTGAAATCCTCTATAACCCACATCTTATCCATATGTGTCCAGCGTAAAAATGACCCGGAGTGTAGTTAAAAACTGAGTTTTCATATAACTGGTAGATTATGCGGTGGTTTAAAGAGATTTTTTCGTCCGGCCTGTATGGCTTACCTGTCTGCTATTGGCATAACTGAACAAGTTAGTGCACAAGTGACATGAATGCAGCTTCATAGGACTAAGATTTATTCCAAGTTCGCCTTATTCCGAAGGTTTTTAGTTGCGTGATTCTACCCAGCGGAGGGTTAAAATTCCAGAGTCAAATGATACCCACGCAGTGGGACCGTACAGTACACATGCTGTGGCGCCTGCACAGCACGACTTCATGTAATGTGGAAATCGTGTTTGCAAAGCTACACCGATCATGAGATTGCAATTAGTTCCGAGATTGGCAAAACGTGTATTGGCACAGTATGAACATAACATCCGTGACTTTGCAATCGTTCTGATTAGTTCGCGTCCACTGAACCAGGGTTTTGCTCTTACGATCAATATGTCATAGTGAAGTGAAGATAACGCGATCGCATTACTTGTTTTCATGTCTCGCGACTTAATCTCATATGCGTTTTCACGTCATTCTCATTTGAAACATTCCCCAAGTTAATTTACTCTATCATTCTGACGAATCCAAAAAAGGGAAGAAGAGTGAAGTCGCTTCTCGCTCATCAGTAATCCATATTCCAGACCGCGTGCTAAGCGGGTGTGCTACCGGCATGCGACCAGGCTGGATGCACTTGCATTATCATATCTAAACGTTCAGAAGCGACCACTTATTGCTAAGCTAAAATTGTCCAGCGGGGTTTACAAGTTCGCGGTGCTAGCTGTTTTGGAAGCCCTGACAGGCGGGCCAGTGAGCCGAAGCAACTGGGACAGTTACTGCTTCGCAGTCCGAGACATCGTGAAAACCAACCAATTCGTCCAAGCGTAGCTAAGTTCGCCCGTTTGGTTGCATCCGATGCGCACTGGTGGGGTGGTGGTAATGCACTCACCTCGCATACGAAGCCCCAGTATAACCAATGGTATATATTGCTGATATAGGCACTGTCTACCTTTAAGCACTTAGGTGACAAAATCTTAGTTCATTCTTAATGCTTTAAAAAGGTCCTATCGGAGTTCACTGAACCTCTTTACTTCGTCATGAGTGAGAGATTCACCATACTTTGTTACACCTCTTACTGGCCACAAGCTAACAAGAAGAAAAATGACTGGATGAGTACTGTTTGGTTTATTGTTTCCGTATGGAGGCCAGCCGTCCCTAATAAGCAAACATCACATCATTGGGACGGATGTCACGAGCAGGACACGGGCCAAACGAAGGCATGCCCTGATTGGTCAGATTGCCAGCCAATCCGAGTGAAGCACCTTTGACTCGACGCCACTTGCGCCCCCACACACGGAGATTCTGGCACGACCTTGTGGAACACTGTGACTACTCTATAAATGCAGTTGTAATAATTTTCCTTTGTCTCCATAAAGGGCTGTGTAGGACTACCGTGCCTTTCGATATACCATAGTGGGCGGAGCAGGAAGGCAAGGGACCGATACAGAGTTGCACGATCGTTCATCAAGTCACAACAGTTTCAAAGCAATTATCAAACAAAGTGCATTGTTTTCCCTCCAACCCAACTGCATATTCCTGGCCATAACGTGCAGTATGTCCGTACCACTTCAAGCCGTCGGTCAGATAACTCTGAAATAGTTCAGCAATGCTGCACAATAGTGCAGTAGTGTTCTTGGTGACAGCTACAGTCTTTGCTTGACTGTCGACTGACAAAATTAGCCCGATGACTGTCAGAGCAACCCGGAAATCAACAATTTCAGAAACCAGAAGGTGTTTGGTAGGGGTGTCTACTGTCCGTTTCTTCGATGGCAATTTTCATCCTCATCTCCATCACAATATCATCTTTCAAAAGAAACAAGAGAACGTGCTATAAAACCGTGTTCCCTTGCTTAACTAAAGAATTGTGGTTGAAAAAATGAGGTACTGTGTGGATCCTAAGCAAATTTATCTCAGAAATCCGAGGTGCATACACCTCCAGTACATATTCAGGCGGGAATGTCACTAAAACTTGTTCGCTGCTATATTTTAGTGTCTCCAGCCAAGCACGGGAAAGGTCTCTTCGTTGAACGTAAACAGTACTAATAACAACCGAACCTTTCGCGTCATCTTACATTCCTCTCTACCATGTCATGTTCTGCCCACCCCCAGAATTCCGTTCCACACCACCCAAAATATAATACAGCCGTGCACTTGCATTTGCGTATATGTCATAGGGGGAAGAATGATTTCATTCAACCCCGTCTTGGTAGTTTATCACAGTAGTTGACTTCGTATATTTGTGGATAAACCGTTTGTAAATTTTAAATCCACCGCCACCGTCCACAATTCAATTTAGGTCAATTTATCAGCTATAAACCGTGTGCCATATGCACATCGATTCTAGCTGCTACTGTTTCGATCATCAGAAAACGGGAAAGTGGAATACAAAACCAAGCCTTGGAGGCGAAGGCATGCTCAGTTTGTTCGAAACTTGGGCAACTACGCACGGAAGGCGATAGCTTTGATGCACAAAGGCCACTGACTGCGCGATTCAGCCATTTCTGCCAGTGTCAATAGCCACTGGTGATCTGAGTCCAGGGGTCCCCATCTAGGGAGGCGGCAGTTACACACCCAACTTAGTTTACTTGTTACTGTTTTCGTACTTCGTTGCCACGTCATACATTGTCCACCTCAGAGCTGGGCGAAAAGAGCCACCGTCCACGACGAATATGTTTGTTTAACCAGTGGGAAGGCATAGATCAAACGGTGTGGAAATACTTGTGTCTGCTTAACCACAAGAGGACAGTGAAAACATATTTGATGTGGCGAAAGAAAGAAGACGACCTCGGTCTCCTGAGCGGTTCTAGGTATAACCTAGATGAGAACGTGATTATAACATCGAAGTCGCCCTCCACTGAAATTTCGCAAGGCACCTCAGGCTAAGAACTTGTTCAGAAACCTAGTTAAGCAGGAATCTGAAATTTTATTCTCGTCGTGACAAAAGGCTTTGTGTTTTGATTCTTATTCAGTCCTTTAAGGCACTACAGTCTGCACCAAAGAACTGAGTCAAGACAACTTTGATAATAGTTATTTCGGTTGAAGGACTACGTGGGTCAAAAAACGTCTGTTGTTATCGGTGAACAGACATAGAAATTTACAACAATTTTCACCGGAAAAGCTGGCTTAAAAAATGTTATTAGCGTAGCCAGTAAGGCATAACTTCAAAGTAATCCAAAGGCAAATTCCAGTTGATAAAGTCTGTTTACATCTCACGCATTTGTGAGTAAACTCCCAAAATTCAAAACCCGTATCTGCATGTCATTATTACTGATAGTATTTCACATTTTTTCACACTTCTGATCAGTTAACCAATCATCTCTGAACAATCACAGAATTTTGCACTTCTGTACGGTTTTCATCACCGAATCTTCTGAAGGTTTCTAACCAAAAGAAAACTAGAACTCCAACTTGTCCAGTCTGAAACATTCAAACGGAGGAAAATAATTCAGCCCATGAAACCATTCCAGGTGTAAACCTCTACACTTGCTCGTCAGATTTACATGTGACTCTGTGATATCCCAGCATAGACTAACATTATTGATGCTCTTGTGGTGTAGATCCAAAATCTGGAATCTAATTTCTACAGTAAATTTATATAGGCTGACAAAGCCGCCTCATATGAGCACTGTGTCTTCTGCCCAAATATCATATTCAAAAGGTAAGAGTTCTAATTCATCATGAATAGCATTGCAGCTGTTTCATTTATCCCACTGAAAAATTTTCCCGGCTTTTAGCATTTTTCGGGAGCAATACGAGGTTATCTAATTGCTCAGCACACTCACGGTTTAGTCGGATGTCTATTTAGCTTTTCGAATAACCTAGTCTCTTGCTTGTCCATCCACCCCTGAGAATAGTTGTGATAACCAATACCTGTCGAGGGCAAAATGAACGACCAGTTTTTTCTAGCAAGTTTGCTTGGAGTTCCAAACCTGACACCGTATTGGCAACTGGCTTCTGTTAGATAATTTAAAATTACTGATTACGTTGCGGACCAGGTTAGAAATCCGGTAAAACTGCTAACTTGCCGAAAGAACCAACTGCGTGACCCGGCTGAGTCACTACCAGATGAACACCACAGTAAGGGTCGATTGAGTACTTACCGAAAAGCTAACGTTATGGTTTATAGAGGTCTGAGGCAAAATCAGCACAGTATATCAGTGACAACACACTCTGTGAGACGACACTAACAAACGACCCCATAATCTTGCATTGTTCACCTTGGATTCTTCGTGTTTTCACTACACGTCTTTCGGTTAAGAAGTCTCTAGTTTCTGCAAATCATTTCAGAGAGAACGCCACACGTTAATTTTCAGTACCCTGGCCAGTGTAAAAACAAGCATAACCCTACAGATTCGTTAAAGGTTGTAGGCGTGAGTGGTTTTTTGTCGTCCTTGGAGGATATTCTTCTTTAAACAGTTTAATCATTTGTTCGTAATAATTCTTTATAGGTCTGGGAGTCTATATTGATCCACATCCACAAACATTCTTCGATTGTCTTATAAAAACACTTACGCATTTCATAATCCGCCAGGAGATCTTCTATTCGAACCACCCGAATTTCCTTGGAGTGGATAGTCACGGATAAGACAAGCAATAAGATTAATCGACCAACGGTCATGTCATACAAATAGTCTCTTCGATAAAACTGAAGACAGCTGCCAATTCAGCATCAATAATTAGATCGTGTGTGCAAATCAGAGACACGTATTTTCAAGACTTATAAACAGAACACTGTGTATTGTAGTGCATAGAGTGTTTTATTACCTTCCAGTAATGTTCAGGCTTAAGGTCATTTCAACGCCCACGCATACTAAGAATACTAAACAAACCAGTGAGAGTAGAGCCTAACTACATGGTAGATAGCTTGATGTGAAGCGTGTTAGATAGGCGATCGATTAGTACTCAAGTTCAGCAAAGTTCTACACAAAGTGCACCAGACTGTCACTGACCAATTAAGCATTAGCAACAGAACCTTCATATACAGAACGGGAACCCATAAATGGAGACCAAGAAACAACACAAGCTGGATGATCGAACGGTCAGTAACCTATTCAAGTGACAGAGTGCGGGATCTCGTTGATCACTCAGTCAACACTTTAGCAGTACCAACACAATTACACCCACTTGAGCATAGACAATTTACTTTTCAAAAAAGTAAGGTACTGCCTCTGGATCGATTTGTCTGATGCCCGTAACTGCTACAGATTTACTACCTACTTCACAATGCTATTGTCTCGATTTGTCTTTTCAGCAGTGATCATAAACCGGTTCATTTAATAATTTCAGGGCAATTCATGTACGTAACAGCGAACAGAAAGACAACGGGCACCACCAGTTTAGAAAAATGTCAATGCACGTGAGTTTACTACCGTTCTTGTACTGCGTACAAGCCTCCGATCCAAACACGTTAATCTGCAAATAATTCTACTGACTGGAGATCACTTCGCACTCACTAGCCATCTTCAAGAGCAGCTTGCAGTCACTTGACATTCCGAATAGCCTGTTCCTTATTTCAAATTAGGTTTCACCTAGTTCTTATGTGAACGTAGTTGACGAGTTGATGGTTACTTATGTTTCAATGAATATATCTTCACGTTGAACGCAAAATCTTGAGAAAGCGATCTTCGAAACAATAGTATCCAACCTAAAAAAGATCATCAGGAATAATCTTAATACCCAGAGACGAAGATGGATATATTTTTCCATCCAAGGCGTCTGCTAGATACCTCGCTAAAGGACGACAATAAAAAGAAAAATGCATGAGTTTTTGCGCAGCACCTCAGGCGAAAAGGGTTAAAATGAAGCATGCCCCAAAAGATCACAATAGAGTCCGAATGAGAATGTTTACCTGAAAAGGTTCGACGACCTGAATTTCATTGCATATACCCCACCCAAATTAGGAATTACGTTCCAGGTTTGATTTTAAGAATAGCACATCACTCATGAAGGACATATGTCTAGATGCTTATGTCGAAGCTTTAAAAAAATACACCTTAAAAACCCATCACCTCATCACCATCATCATCATCACCATCGTCAGCTGTAATAACCGTGTACTCGTCGAACAGTGGTTGTGGCTGCCACTGTTCTGTTCCCCCAGGCGACCAGCATGTTTACATTTATGGAAGCAGCGGTGCTGCCTTCCCCCGAGGAAGGACTGGTTAGTAAAGGTCGGCCGCCAAAACTGCACACTCCGATCGCCCAATGGTTGACCGTGACCGCCGGTGCATTATCCAATACGGTCGAAATACTTTTGAAACCAAAGAGCCCGGTGCTGTTCAAAAGGCACCTGCTGTGCGCAGCCGTATCAGGAATGAGACAGTAATGCCTTATTACCTGCGCCCTCGGGTTAGGCCAACCCCCTGCAGCCTGTTGAGTCTTCGGCTCCGGCCAGGGTCCCCAAAGAAAACCCTACATTCTCCCACTGCCTCGTGGGTCAGACTTTTGAAAGCCATCACCGTAAGCGACAGACCGATCCGTATAATGATGCTTCAGAAGTATTCATTCGTAAACAAACCACGTGGATACTAAATACCGAGGCTCAGTCCACTTTTAGCGGTCAGGGTCAAACTTCACTTCGTATATTCAACCCTCAAAAAACTGGCCTCTGACAACGTCTAGTTACCGGTGTATTGTTTCGATCACCTGGCATGCGTAATGTATGCTGTTTTACAATCTACCATCATGTGTGCGACATATATCTGCTATGATAATAAACTATGATTTAGTATGGAACAGCTACAGATAATGCAGTGTGTCACGAAATATGACTAAGAATTGGTCACAAAATTACTGGATAAACCACGGTCTGCATCCCGGAGATGGTTTTCATACAAGGGTAGATGCTGTCCTATTATAACTAACCGGGCCAAACCCCTCATCCAGTCTCTGGCGAACAGAAGACTCCAAATTAGGATTTTCAATGAATACAATGTATCACCAGTTATCTCTTCGGTTCACAACAAACACACGTGCAGTAAGTGCAGTCGTGTGCAAGTCAGGCAGTGGCAGTTGAAAACTTGACACAGTCACACGGTAGACGATGATGAATTTTCCTTTTGCCTTATTTCCTGATTGCTCTCGGCTGAATACGCATGCGCTGGGAAACGTAAGCATGGCATACAGAGGGGGATGATGAACATTCAAAATCCGCGGCAGTGTAGTTGAGACAATCTTGATTAGATCTCCGGTTGTTTTGTTACTTATCCAAGATGCGGAAGAAGAAGTTGACCTGGAATAGAGAAAAAGGAATTTTGTCCTCAACAAGTGTGTCTGTGTTTGTTAACTGCCAAAAAGCTAGTCTGTCACATAAATCGAAAGGAGGTAGAATCGTAGCTAGCATAAAGCACTCGTTGACTTGAAATATATTTTCATGCGATTTGTGGTAAGACGCATGTGCGTTTTCTGTCAGACAGTATCTACTTAGGCACAAAGTCGCTGGTTACAAGTCAACATTTGCTGTAAATGGAGGCACAGTCCCACTGGTGGGGCTAGTGTTTATGAGGGTGAAAAGCGTCCTGGTCCAGAGCAACACCATACACATTCTCACGTCAGTTTCGCAGAGGATAGCTCTCGTTTTATCTACAGAATTACATACTCACTCAGCTACACGTGCTGCAGCCTAAGAAGCAGTCATTGGAAACCACGTGTTGCGTCCTTGCGAACAACTGTTAGTATTTCAGGCATCCTGACAAACAAAGTAATATGAGGAACAATCTGCCTGGAAGTTTCAGGCTTCCCAATAAAACAGCAGAGAATATTACAAATCCCTTCTTACATCTTAGAATGTTAGTTTTTATTGCCCTTCAAGACGCTCTTGCCCACGTTCCTACTGTACAGTATTGGTCCTCACCAAAGGCGATTTTAAAATTCACACAAGCATCACCGCCCAAATGGTTTCATAAAACATCGAATAGGAAAAAAACCCTAAATGTTGTTTAACACAAAATGAATTCCTGTTGCTTACTTCCAGCTCTGCATCCTCCGGCAGGTCGGTGCAATGCACAGCGTTACGAATTTTGTCTATCCCAAACTTTGCTCGTAGTGTTTGTGGTCGAAGGAATTTGGCGATTTCCTGTTAGACATTTTGGAACACGATGAAAGAAACAAAACCACACGTTATTTTTTTATACAAAACTTATTTCTGGTGTTTTTTTATATCAGCCGAGAATAAACAAATACATAGCAGCTTTGTCGGCTAGTATTCATATGACATGCACTCCACCAACCCCATGAAAGTTGATATGTACATTTATTAGGGTAGTTTAAGATGGAAACCAGTGTGATCGCTAAAACTACGAACGCTTTTTGTGCGCTGCAGGAGGGGATCACTGTTCCTTTAGCTGCATTGATTGGGTGTGTTACTTGACAAGACCAAAAGCCACTGAAGTCAGCATGTGTTGTCCATTGGATATTTGAAAAACCGAAGCAACAATATGTTTTTACAGTCTTCCATCATTGGTGGTCCCTTTTTTCCTCTCCTTTTTTTAGTTTGGGGATTACAATTAGAAACTGATGTTTGCGATGTTGTTGCTATCATACCGACGTGGGGGGTTTGTGGAGTGGAAAGAAATATGTTAGAAGTCTTTTAACATGAAGTACCAAGCCCAAGTTCAATGGTGCTATTAAGGCCCATGTAGCAGAATGAAAGATCTTTTTATATCGGTCACCTATGTTCAGCAACAAAAACTCAAATGTCTGCGTAAATGGATAACATAAATGAGCACATACGACATGAAAAGCTGGCGAAATGTACCCTTCTGACGTTTCGGCAAATCATCATCTTCATCATCATCATCATCATCGTCAGCTGTAATAACTGCGTACTCGTCGTACAGTGGTTGTATCTGCCGCAGTTTCGTTCACCGATGATTTGGAGGGGGTAGGTAGCTGCGCATTGCAGGCGAGAGATGATAAATTGGTTCATAAATCCAGCACTATAAGTGGGCTGTCAACAAGGGGGGTGAAAAAGGAGCTATGCATCAAATGCAATAGCTTGGATGCACGAGCGCCATTGAGGTTGCGACTGGGCCATGTCTGACAATGTCTCGAGCCATTGATATGGCCCGTCTCGGGGTCCCCATCCACAAAGACGGCAGTGACCAGCGCATCTGAGTTTTCTGGTAATGTCTTCCATACTTCGCTTGGGTAAAACGCACTACCTTCAGCGATTAGTTAAGATATTCGAAGGAGGACAGCTTCAAAAAACTATAAATGGAGCTTAATCGTAGTCCGTTTCATTCATTTGAGATAGGTAACATCGTTTTGCTCATTAACTATAACCTATTGTAGTTTTAATAATCAGGCAAACTAACGTTTTTTGAGCGTTTTAAAACATAGTGGTGGCCTTCCCCCTGTTTTTAAGTGCGAACGTCAACAAATCTACTCGGTCTTTTAAAGTCAAGGTCAGTAGGAGCATTTTTAAATCCCAAGGGCTACAAACTGAAAGTTAATAAGCAACACAATTTTTTCGGCAAAACTGATTCTGAAAAAAGTGCCTACATTCTTGCTGGGTTTACCAATCTTCCATAGGCGGCCTCATTCATTACGCATCACAAGTATACAGGGACTTATTAATCGCACTAGTTTGGATGCTTCGTAATTTTCTCTCCAAACTCAGTCCCTATACAGGCCTCACAGCAAGACTTGAGTGCAGGTTGGGTCCCTTTGACATTAGTACTCTAATGCAACCATAAAATGGACACAGTACTACTACCTTGGAAAGGGACGTTTCTATCTCATTTTTATACCGCATTCCATGAAAATGACCACCAAAAAGATTACTCAGAACGACAAAACTGAATTCACAAAGCTTGGAGAAAAACCAGTTGAATCAAAGTTTTAGGGTTGGCAGTTTCGTACGTACCGGATCCACAGGCCCCACAAACTCTCGAAAAGTTTTTTGCACATCCACTCCTTCCTCCATTGTGGCGATTTCCAAAGCCACGCAAGGACCAGACGCGAGCTGATCGAGCATTTCTGGGTACTCGTGAGCGACTCCTTTATATACTTCCAGGAACTCGGCAGCATCCGCTTTGGACAGACGATACAAGCGAGCAGCACTGATGCAGAATCCGCGTTCCCTGATTGCAGTCCAGACGGAACCGATAAGGCCTGGGGGCACAGTGAATAAATGTTATCAAATAAAAATTGATCTTGGCTTCTGTAGCCTTCTGGCGAGTGATCGAACCAACCAGAAATAAAACCTTCCAGAGGTAGATCATTCAATGAAAGACTCCGTAGTAGCCTTCCCGGTCAGTCACGACCAATGACTGCGGGACACTGTCCGTAATCAAAAGTCAAATATCCCTTCCGTTCGATTACTTCCTTTGAGAAGGGATTCTTTGGGGGTGTTATGAAAGCAAGCGTTTCTCCATCGGGTTGAGCGGAGTAAAAAGCACAATGCCTGCTGGTTTGTTGTACCCGGACGCAAACGTACCTAAAGCATGTAAACACTCATCTGACAGTTTTCCCGGTATAAAACGGAAAATACTTGGTTTTGTACTCTGAGAAATTTCGCTGCCCTTGGATCTGGAAGGTTTTCACCGTCCAGCTTAAGGATTATTCTACGTCCAGGCTTCATAACGAAAATGGTTTCCTGATTTTCATGAAGGAAACTACTCAAAAGGTCGCTGGAAACTCTTCAAAATCCCACTACCGGTTTGGCCCTTCATAGGGATCATCAGGTAGGCGCAGTCCCCGAGTTTCCGTCAACCTCATGTTCTACTTGAACCCAAATTGGACTGTTTTCGAGAAATACACTCATTTGCAAATCAATTCGGTTCTCACGAGAGACTCAACTGAATCTGTCGTTTATGATATTCTACAACTGAATGTGCTGCACACAGGCCGCCTCATGACTCAGTCGGCACGATATTCGGGACATCACAATATATTTTCATTTTTACGTTATTTACCTGAGTAACTCTGATAGTTCAGCACCCGGTATAAAAGGCAGAGTAACGCGTCTTGTGTTCCTCGATGTTAGACTCCTCTCTTCCATGTCTCATCTCACAACACCAAAAGGACTATACATAGTTTTGTTTCTCGTCATGGGCACACCCAAACTTGAGTCCTCCAATCAGCGTAAAGACGCAGTTATTAGGACGATTGGTTGTGGCAGCCACGTTCTCGGAGCCTATACCCACTTGACAATTGCCCTGAATGAAGCTGAAATCTTTTCATTCAAACAATCTTTGACGCCCACTTAAACAGAGTTCCAAAACCATCGTTAACCAGCATCTCCTTTTATTGCTACCGTTCTGTGATTGCCGAGTCCTCGTCGTTTGAATCTTAGAGATCCCCCTGGATGACTCTGGTTGGATCTTTACAGTAAATTTGCCCTGTGTGGAGTTCCACGCCAGCAAAATAAAACCTTTTTCTAGTCCCCAGATTCTAGTCATATTCTTGTTCACGTTCCCCGATTGAGTGCATTCGTCCTCTATGGACTTAGAATACATCAGTCATTCTACGACGTCTTCGCAACAAAATCAGTAGCTTTTTGTTCGGAAGACGGAATAGCTGAAAAAGTCGAGAGGTGGCTTTTTCTGTCCTGTGAAGGCGTTAGAATGATCTTCATCCGATGGCTAACACCCACAGCACACTAGTTGCAAAATGTAAGCGTTTAAGACCCAAGCAACTGAGTTAACGGATTCCCGCAAAAAGGAATGGAGAAGCACGGACTAAGTGCCAACTAAGTCAGCAGAAAAAACACATCAAGTTGATGAAGGTTTCGCGAAAGATAATTGTATAATGTCATCAGTATACCCAAGGACCTCTGAATGGTCCTATAATACTGACGCGCGAACCCGTAACCCCTTGGTCTCACATATCAGCCAATCCACATTTCTGGGATTGTCTTCCGATAGGCACTAGGCCAGACTAAAAATCGGCCAGTAGGGTATCGGTGAAAACATGGGAGGTGGTATATTGTTCTCTCCAAGCGTACTTCGTGCAGAACAAACTAAGAACCAATAAATGGAAGAAGGGGAAATAACGGTCACCAAGTTAAAAATATTTGTTTAGTTTGTTCGCAATGTCCTGAGGTAACTTCCGGTTATATCCAGCTTTAGTCTCATGTGGCAGAAAAACTGTATTCGACAGTAGCTCACAGAATAACCTGGTGTTAACCAGAAATTCAAATGCGTTTATCATGTCCCTTCCGAATAGATAAAATAATCTGCACCAGAATAACGGAAAGTGGCTGCCTTCCGAACGACGCTTGTGAAAAAGACGTATTTTTTATTCAAGTGAGATGATCGAAAATTGATAAAACTATGTTCATCGCCTAGTTTCCATAATTTTTTACTAATCAAGTTTAATGTACCATTTGCCGTCTTTTTTGCTAAAAATGGATGTTAGTTTCATTTCTTATTTTCGAAAAGTGGAAACTAAAGTAACCCAGTGTTCTTTGTGCTAAGTGGGTTGTAATATTCATGGAAGATAGTAATCAAAAATGAAACTGTCCATTTTTGCTACACAGAAGGCCTATGCAAAGCGTCTAGAACCTTCGTTTGTTCCAGTGTTTTTCATGGGCGAGGCCATCAAGTTCCACATAACCGCTTACCTGTCTACGAACTCCAAAAAAGCTATTCGCCCTAACGGTTTCTGATTCTAAAGAGACTATGAACTTGGTCAGTGAAGCAGAGTGCAGTTAAACACGCTCGTTGCCTTTGACTGGGAGGTTTATTACCCGGCTACTTTTTACCCCTCAGTAGTACATGTACAGTTTCAAAATTGTGCACAGTTTATATCGAACGCGTCAGTGGCAGGGCTATTCCGCCTAGTTTCACTCGAATAGCTCAACCTAATGTTTATATCCCACCTCACAATTTATTAGAAGTTTAAACTGGTGCATATCTCAAACATTTACGGAGGTACTGTTGATCGTGTGAAAGTTGATCCGTTTACCGAGCATGAAAGTTTTCTAGCAAGCAAGCCATGCACGTTTATTGAAGCAATTGGTGAATTTCAGCTCACGGGAGAGATTTAAATTAGAACGGTAGCTATTTCACAAGTATAGTTATCAATATCATCATCATGATACGGCTTTGCTGCCGTACATCTATGCATTATTTGAAAGCCTTATTGTATAGAAAAGGATAAAAGTGGACAGGGAAGCTTCATCTAAGTACATCCAGACACTCAATCAAGCAATTAAGATAGAAATTGAGGACAAGAATGCCATCCGCATCTTTGAGTGTCTTCAAAAAGGCACATTGGGGAACATGTGGCCCTCATTTTGGAAAGGGTGTAGCACCACACAGTGCATCCACACATTGGATCCACCCAGTGTTTCCAAGGATTTTCGTAGTCAACACATAGCTAATTTCATAGTTATTGCCAGTTAATCACCCTTCTTTTTTGAAGGCTACTTGGACTTTGATGAATCGTCAAAAATTGAAAAATTATCAGTGGGCACTCGGGTGATACTCACCGCACATACGTTTACGCTGCGCTTCTCTTTATTTAGGATTGGAGGCATACAAATACGGGAGTACGAACTGCCTCGTATTTCGTCATTTTGTGAGAGGTTTCGTAGGTACCGGGGCTTGTTATGGAATCCAAAATTGTCGCGCGTGATTTTTAAACAAAAAGTGCCTACTAATAGTGAGAAAGTGTCAGAATATATTCCTTCATTGTGCACATGGAAACATAATTTTGCAGCTGAGATAAAACACTGAACTTGCGTGAATAAACGGTTAAATGTTGACTGTCGGAAAGTTGCCGTCTTTGAGATATTCTGCATTCCCAATCCATCATCCAATTATCGCTTATAAGGCTCATAAAAGGAGAAGCTGACCCGGATAAATACATAGTATACTTTGTTTACAAAAGAACCAGTTGTTAGCAGCAGGTGCCTACTTGTCACTGAAGTGTCCCTACCCTTGGCATAAAATGTGGGTTAGGAGACATTTTCGGATTACTTCCGAGAAGTTACCTGTTCATCGGACACAGCCAATGCATTTATCAGAGTCATATAACAAGGTGGCTACTTGCAGGAGGACAGGATTCACTGTATGGAGCATAAACCCGGTAATAGTCGAGGAATCACTTGGTAGCAGATTTGACATCAACTGGGTCCATATTTCTAAATGACACGCAAAGGTTGCCGTCACAAGGCATACATTAACCGGACGCGTAATAATTTATGTCAAATAACCTGTTGAAACTTACCATCAGACACAGCGTGTGGCTTAATTATTGCCAAAGTGGTTCCTTTCAGGCGGGGAGAGCCTCTGAACCGTGGACCACCAGGATTGCCAAAAATCATTTCGGCCTGAGTGGAGGAACTTTCTGGGTCTGTTGCGAATACCAACAAATCTTTGCTAGAAACCAAATTCGTTCCCTTTTCAGGTCCACTCGGGCCACCCACAAGCTCGCGCATTGCAGCACATGCGTTGTTTCCCATTAACTCAACAGCGACGATGTTCGTCTCGGCAAGTTCAGTAAGAAAGTGCCTGATGGAAAGCAGACGGATATAAAATAAAACGTCTTCCCAAAACGTAATGGAACAAATCGTTTTAGGCATATGGGAAGATCGAAAATCACCTGATTTTAGCGAAAGATCCATCATTTCTGCGTAACGCTTAGATGAAAGGTACGTATAATTTTCAAAGAGTTTAAAAAAACGAATCAATTTCTTCACCATGGTACACCCAAAGCCACTCTCATAAAGAAACCTGTCTAAAACAAACAACCCAGAATTTTTCGCTGCAATCGATCTTAACATAATATGCTTCCGGTACCCAAATTATTATTTGATCTACGCAGGAGGATAAAAGAATATCAAGGCTGCACACCGCTTATTGGTGTGTACTAGTATACACTTATACTGGATAAAGATTTCACCCCCCGTCTGTTGTCATTCTACCATCTTTTCTGAAAACCAGAAATTCCCGTCAAAATGTTTACAAGGCCACTTAATTCACTTTTTCATTTGTCAAAGATTGTTCCAGTGTCAGCTGAATATCTTGCAGAGTGGTTTTACAAAAAGTAATAATATTCGCAAGGACCTCAGAGTTATGGACTTGTTCCCTCTCGTATTTGTAAGAAATATCCCATTAATTTGATTTCATTTTCAGGCCTCTACACACTTTGTTACAGTAAGTAACTCACCCCCTAAAGTTTGACCGAAACCAGTTTGTCCAGAGTTTATCAACCAACCGTTTCCGGTGGTGTTTCCAAATAACCAACTCAACTTTGGTAGTAAGGTGCAATAATGCTGAGAAACTGATGAATGTGCACTCCGTTGCCTGTAAGCGCTCAGCGTTTGGCCATATATTCCGCAGTCAAATGTGGTGGTCTTCAAATCGGCATTCATAAGATGCGTCAGTCCATAAGTGTGACAGTTGCTTGGATAAAGGGCAATACTCTGACGCGAATATAAAGCTGTGTTATCTACAGTAAGGATAGAGTAGAGGAAAGAAGGGATACTGTGGCTTGAGTCAATTTTTTCAGTCAACCAGGAACCTTCAAATGTTCGAGTAGTATGCTCTATCATGGCACCTAACTTGGCCTGTATGCATTCCGTCGAAACCTTAGTGCCGTAACAGAAAAAGAAGAAACATCTCTGGCTAGGCCCATCTAGTGCGTGCCTATAGGTGGCAATGACGGAGAACTATTGCAATAATTATCTATGATGTGTTAACGTGGCTTTTGAACATAGGAAATTGGTCGTAACATCACCAACAGATCCATCATACTACCATAAAATGACCGCTCACCTATATCACTGAAAGTCTTGGTTAGTTAAACTAGGAAATCCTCTTAGGATTTCGCCTACGTGATTTTTTTGTAAGAGTCTGTTACGGTTCTGTCACGCAGCGAGCAAACAATATGATAATGCGGATTGTGGCAATACTCTATCCCCAGCTATGTTGCTTGATCCAGACTCCTAGCACGGCGAATAGTAAGAAGACGAAAACCTCGGACACAAACTTTAATAATCCAACAACACACGATCAGCAGGCGATGCCCGGAGCTTCTGAACCCAAGTCAGTGGAAAGATGGTATCCTGTACGTGGTCGGATTTAAATTTCCTTTGAGTATCAATAGGCCATTGATTTTTCATATTTTGACCTTGAATATGCCGGGAGTTCGCTAGCACGCATAAAAACACAGCGTTTTCTGGGGGATATCGACATCCCCAACAGCTCTCCTTGTGAAAAGTCAGTAACGTACTCGACGGGGGTCGAGTACGCGTGGTTATCGAAGCATTTGCAATGACTAGATTTAAAAAGCGCCCGATGTAATGGATCCAAAAAATGGTGAGATGACAAGTTCACAAACCTGAGTAAGGTATTGCTGGGGAATAGGGAGTCATTGAAAGAAGCTTGTAGATAATTCAAAGTATGGAAACTGAGTTATCGTTCCAAATATATAGTGCAAGACAAAAGAGAATCATCATTGTAACGCGACATTCAAACGGATAGGGAGAAGAATAGCTAAAGATTACACGATAAACTTCAAATGCTTTTGCTGATTCGCAGACTAGTATGTACACACTTGGCGTCCTTTAATGAACTAACGCTGTGACAAGGTTTGACCTATAAATATCAGGGACTGTCTTTGAACAAGACTATACCCCGCTACCTTTAAAAATCAGAAAACAAGAGAGGAACGCACTTGGATGATTTAGTGGACTAGAGTAAAGAAATACTCAAAATACACATGGGTCTAAAAAATAAGTATCACACAATATTGAAAATGGTCGTAGAGCCTGTAACAATATCACCAATTGCATTGTCCAGTCAAATACTAGCAAAACAAACAGGAGGAAACTAGTAGAAAATGATGGTTGTAGTTACTGTTGACGCAAGGGAGACCAGTGAAACAGGGACTAGTAAGATTGACCACAGCATCACCTTGCAGAAGCATATGAAAACTTCTACGTGCTAGTAATATGCCCTGTCGTAGATTTCCACGATTATGCCAAGGGAAGGTGGCGTCTCACTTATACCATTGGACCTTATGGCCTTATTTTCAGGCGCCCGGGTTTGAGCTATATCTTTTGACGTTAAAAGCTATGCCAAATTTTCAGTACTCATTCAAACCCTATAACTTTTCTGTAAGAACCAAATTAACCACTGATAAACAAGGACTGAATAGCCTACGCAGGAGGTTACACGAGCATAAACTTTTGTTACATGTAACCCATAAATTAGCGGGTCCATAATATTTACTCAACTATTTACCAAACAATGAGTCAGTGACGTGGTAAGCACGAATGAAGCGACTTCAGACAGGTTTTGTTATAACAGCAAGAAAAGCGTTTATATTACGGGAAGGCTTGAGGCTTCTCAGCCAATCTATGCGCAACACGTGGAAAGCTTTAAACAGCCATCAGAAATTTGCTTGGAATTTTCGTCAATACAACGCTTACTAGACTCAAAGTTCTCAAATCCGTGACCTTCCGGTAAGTAGTTGGTGTTCAAGCTTTTCTTCTACAAGTGTATCATCACCAAAAAAAATGGTTAGCTCTCAAAGTGACAGGCTGTATCACTACTCGCCCTTCATTTAGATACCATAGTATCTAGTCATCGACTGATTGGCTTTCTGTGTAATGAAGTTTTCTGATGGAATGTCCACCGATATTGTTAATTACGGTTCAACTATCAGAGCGTGATTCTCAGTGGAGCTATTGTTCTCTAAGAGAGTCCAACCTATGCTAAACGGCCAAGGTGCTTCATTTGTATTATCCAGGGCGCCAATATAAAGATCATCAGAATGTGTTCTCTTTATTCCCAGATGATTGACATGAGACACATCTTACGGCTGGTTTGCAGAGAAATCTCGACTAAAAGCTAATAAACGGTGGTAACGAATAAGGCGTTTGAGGCTTCGGTTATGTCTAAGGAATTGTATTACAGCTGTAAGCCTAAATTTTTTTTAGTGCACGGCACAATTTTCAGGTATTATTTTAGGTGCCAAGAACAGGCCTAGGTCCCGTACTTTATAAATTGGAGGCCCAGTCTAGCTTGTTATAGCACATGTACACAAGACAGGTATTGTGCCTTTGAGTGTTAGCATATAATCAATGAGTAATGTTTCGCGACTCATCCATTCCAAAAAATGAAGCGACCCTAGAGGAGGCATACACTATGGTAAGTGTTCTTCTTGAGTTGATTCTGGAGGCGTTTTGGGGATAGAATGGACGATTTGGCGGAAAAAGCACAGAAACTTCTCCACTTAATAGCGACGCTAACAAAAGATTAACGTTGGTTTCCCTAAGATCTGGATGAGCCTGGGATGCTTTCCTGAAAAAGATAATTGGAAGTTCATTGTAGGAACTCCGCAAGAAAAAGGCGTACAATTTATGAGATATTTTATGCACATTATGATTACCATTTCAAATTAGAACTAAGATGGAATTTGCGGCTCCCAATAGTCCTTGGGTTCTGGGTCGTTTACTGCTATACCCAGATTCACTCAATCCTAGGCACTACCTAGAAAATAATAACGAAGCACAGGTGTTTCTTGCCGGAATCACTGCTTTCGTGCAAGTTTACATTTAGTATTCTGCATCTGAAAAATTCACGGTAGCAGATGACAAGCCTGATACACTCATTTTTTTGACCGACGAACCGCGAAAAGTATCAGCAAATGTGCAACCTTTTGACCACCATAGGAATAAAACCAAAACTAATACCCGGATGGGTCTAGCAACTTAGTTAATTCAGTGGTTTTAAAAGGCAATTATTCTGTGTTTTCCCAACACGGTGGTTGACTGCTCGGAACAAAGGTTGATATGATATTTTTACTTTTTTCCATGATCGAGAAGTTGGTTTTGGTGAAGACAATCCGCCTTTTAGTTGCGGCTGAGAATGCCAAGTGCATCTATCAATTACTCTTCTTCAAATCATTCCAACCTTATTTCAAACAATGTATTGGAAAGCAGGTGACAGACTGCACACGAAGTTTAGACAGTTATGCCAATCACTACGACAGGATCCATGTGCAGTGGTTGTAAACTACTGTTTCTTCTCCATTCTAATTTTACGAATTTTTAATAAAAGAAAATACAGCACATTTCGCGCTTATGGACTTTACTCGTTTTCTTTGAGCGGATGTTTTTGTAAATTTGCTGGTTGGGCAATACTGGCTATCAGTAATCTTTCATGTGGACAAGAGTTTGGCTGTATATATTACTGATCTCTTCACAGCAGTGGACTAATATTACACCTACGAGAAATTTGAATGTCCATTGACTAGGACTTTTACTCTGTGGTGTGATGATTCTGCGGAATACGAACCTGTGTGTCAATACTTCCTTGAAGTGTTCTCCCCTTGATTTCTTTCTGACTGTCATTGTTAGTTCGCTATATTCATTTGAGACTCCTAATTTCTGTTAACCACTAAACATGCCTAATGTTGAAAGGAACTCCCACGCAAACTGCATTAGTCAATCTCTCTTTGTAGGAAGTAGGAAGTAATAATTTGTAAGCCCTACACTTCTCGGATGATAAACTTGGATCCATTTTTTTCCTGGGTTCTGCCGTTCCTTAAACGCAATCTGCGGCAGGTGTGAAAACAATTTTACTCCCCGTGCAACCACTTTCTATCTGAATATCTGAAACGCAACTGAAGCTTGTAACCCAAGCCGATGCAGCACTACTATTCCATCTGAAATAATTCCTTAGATGGGCATAGAGTGTATACAATCACCATGACTTTGACAGATATTGGTGTTTGTTTCGCCATACATTCGAATCTCCGGGATAAAATGTCCAAGTTACAACTATTGTCAAATTTAAGCGAATTAACCCAAGCATGGTAGCTTACTTACGGTAATTTGGTGTAGTCCACATTATTGCCAATGAGTGCTGTTGTCTCATCCGATGTGGGACAGAAAATCTTGAGATTGACTATGCGAAATCCTTTTCCTTCCAAGTCAGATATAATCTCCCCGGCTCTGCACACCGAATCTGGACGAATAAAAGCTACGCACCTATCCAAACTGGATTAGAACATTAATATACATGATGTACCTTTCAGAGCTGTGGCATAGAGCTTTGCGCGTAAAACTATCAGCAAAGTCAACCACCCTCAAAGTTCTAGATAGAACAGTAACACAGCCTCCTAGGTACAGATCCGACAGCTTGATGTTCTCCATCTTGGTTGGTTTCAAAAACAGCCTGTTAAGCCGTTGATCATGCTAAACTCCATGAGTGAATTAGTCTGTGCAATTTTGAGCGGATACCATTTCGATTGCATTACTTCCGGAATGATATAAAAGGATATATTTTTTAATAGTAGTTGAATACGGATCATAGTACTCCACGATAAAGGAGTATGTTGGCCCTTTCCCTTCCTAGTGTTCAAAAATATTAGACGAATTGGAACGGACCATTATTGTTCAATATTTGAATTACCGCTTAGGAATGACGCACCGCGGTCTCCATGGGCTGGATTAGATTCAAGTCAAAAAAATTCTATATACCCTCGGTCTGCACTGAAAATTCATTGGTTAGTTGGTCGCTCCAATACATGGGCAGATACATTAGAAGACAAATCTAGTTTCTTCACCTTTATTCCAGCAGGAGGCTAGGTTCGCTATCCTGATCAAAGTTCACATATGTAATTTAGAAGAAAATTTAAAAGAATAAACGGGATTATTGATACGTGGGATAATGGGATTAGTCAAAAACCAAGGTGATTTTTACGAAGGGTCAATGGAACGTCAATTCTAAACAAGTTTGCAGCACAGTTAGAACGCCCCGTTAGAATATTTTTGTAATCCCTCCTTGGAAGTTGTATACAGTGGAAATAAGCAATGTGGAATCAAGTTGAAAGGCGGATGGTGGATGGTGGATAAAATGCATGAAGCTAAAAGTCGAGATGTCGCTTCATTTAGGTAGTTGGTATGGACGACAATATGTCTGTTCTTAACTGGTTATGGGTTTGATATCACCATCCTTAGGACTGACAAAGATAGTCAACCTGGCCACATCCGTTTTGCCAGGCATTAGCGTATGGACTTCTTCGAGAAGTTTCGTGACATTTTGAACGTTGGTGCTACACGCAGGTGTTAGGAAACAGTTTGCTTGGCCGTAACCTCCGAGTCTAGGTGCAAGTGGCATACGCTTTTGGAAGCACAAGCCTTGGGCATGGTCGGTCAAACATGCGCCACTTCATACACAGCGAACGATTCGCTTCGTTCATTTCAGTAACTAATGAGGAGAAGTCATGACGTAAAGAATTCCGTAACGGATTAATTTTTCGTGCATGGGTCCAGGGCGCGTGGCCATTAGGTGCGACGCTACTTAGCATTTTCATTTGATGAAGGCAGCGACAAAACAGGAAATCACCAAACTTCGTGGGGACTGTTTTCATCAGACAAAATTGTAGGTCCGTGGATATTGATGCTTTTGATATTTCTCGTTATTAGCCCGATACATTACGCTGAAGCAACAGACGGAAAATTACTTGCACGAGTGCTGCGGACATTCCCGAAGTTCTTCTAAAAAATGGTAGGATAGTAAAAACCGTTCTGCAAATTGTTTAACGACTGCGCCTCTCAATCTGAAAAAAAGCACAAATCTTTTGTTGACAAATTAACATTGCACTGCCGCTGAGCACATCCATCAGCTCAATGGTGGGTGGAAGCTCATGCGCCCCCAAGGATGCATAGCACATATGTCGGTAAGAAACGTATGTAACAAGCGCATGTAGAAGTGGAAAAGTGATACGAGAATATATATATATATATATATATATATATATATATATATATATATATATATATATATATATATATATATATATATATATATATATATATATATATATATATATATATATATATATATATATATATATATATATATATATATATATATATATATATATATATATATATATATATATATATATATATATATATATATATATATATATATATATATATATATATATATATATATATATATATATATATATATATATATATATATATATATATATATATATATATATATATATATATATATATATATATATATATATATATATATATATATATATATATATATATATATATATATATATATATATATATATATATATATATATATATATATATATATATATATATATATATATATATATATATATATATATATATATATATATATATATATATATATATATATATATATATATATATATATATATATATATATATATATATATATATATATATATATATATATATATATATATATATATATATATATATATATATATATATATATATATATATATATATATATATATATATATATATATATATATATATATATATATATATATATATATATATATATATATATATATATATATATATATATATATATATATATATATATATATATATAT